GATAGCTGGTTTAATTGTGGGAAACATTGATGAAACAATAGCAGTGCGGGATATTATTGTTTATGACCGTAAAATGGGGTTGTCTAGAATTAGTGATCTTCACCCAAGTCTTATGGCCATGCAATATCCTTTACTATTCCCGTATGGTGAAGATGGATTTCGACTTGGCGTTCCATTGGAAGGAGAGTCCGAAAATTCAAACAAGAAGAGAAAAGATGTAACAATGATGGAATATGCTGCATTTATGGAAGGAGAGTCCGAAAATTCAAACAAGAAGAGAAAAGATGTAACAATGATGGAATATGCTGCATTTAAGATCCAACAAAGGTGTGACGAAGGCCATACATTGATTCTTTCAGGCAAACTATTTCAGACTTACATTGTAGATATGTTTACATGTATTGAAGAAGATAGATTGCTTTGGGTCAGACTAAATCAAACAAAACTTAGAGCGGAGCTATATTGTGGCATTAAAGATGCAATATTCAGAGGTGATACAGATGGAGCACAAGTTGGGAAGAGAATTATCTTACCTTCATCGTTTACTGGAGGTAATCGATATATGACTCAAAATTATCAAGATGCAATTGCTTTGTGTCGTGTTTTAGGAAATCCGGATTTGTTCATCACAATTACTTCAAATCCAAAATGGCAAGAGATTAAATATGCATTGGACGAGATAGGGGGGCAAAGACCAGATGAAAGACCAGATATAGTTGCAAGGGTTTTTAAAATAAAGCTTGATCTATTGATGGAAGACCTGCAAGCTGGTCAATATTTTGGGAATAGCATTGCTGGTATGTATATATATGTATATTTAGCTTATAAATACAAATATAAAAATAGGTAAAGATAAATAAAGTAGAAAATGAAACAATATAAAAGTGGATGAATGACAATCAAAATAAGAGTGTTGAAGAATAAATTGTGTCCAATTTAGTCACAAAATTCAGATTTATGAGTCAAAAGTAATTGATTTGTCAAAGGAAATTCCTATTGCTAAATATAACTTATATAACTTATGATACATCAACTTTCTAATTTAAAACTTTTGATACATTAACTTTCAAATAAAAAAATTTCAATTAATTTTAACATACAGTTTATTAAGGACTAAAAACAAATTCTCAAACCTGACTATAAGCAAATCCATCTGAAGTACAAAGAGAGTCAATTCATATTTGCAATGGAATATAGTACATTTTATTGAGAGAATCAAGATAAATTGATTATTGAAATCCACTATCAAGCAAATCATATTATACAAGTTGATTCACATAGAATGAAAAAATGGAAGCTTAAAATTATTTATGCTCCAGATGTGCAACAATACGATTAATAAAAAACAAAATAAACATTTACTATTAACTGCATATGAAATATGAGAATAAACAAGTTGAGTAAGGTTATAAAGTATAGCAGACTGTTATATAAGATATAACATACCAAACCTGATAAGTAAATGCATTTTTTATTTAATAACTACATATTAATATAAATATACATATGTGTGCAAAGACCAGATGAAAGACTAGATATAGTTGCAAGGGTTTTTAAAATAAAGTTTGATCTATTGATGGAAGACTTGCAAGCTGGTCAATATTTTGGGAATAACATTGCTGGTATGTATATATATGTATATTTAGATTATAAATACAAATATAAAAATAGGTAAAGATAAATAAAGTAGAAAATGAAATAATATAAAAGTGGATGAATGACAATCAAAAGCACAGAGTTGAAGAATAAATTGTGTCCAATTTTTAAACAGAACTCAGATTTATGAATCAATATAAAACATTACAAAAGCATCTAAGTGCAAAACAATTGATATAAATAACAAATTTGAAAACTTAATAAATATGATAACTAAATACAAAACAAATATACTATATTACATAGTACATCAGTTAAAAATGCTAATTGATTTGTCAAAGGAATTTCCTATTGCTAAATATAACTTATATAACTTATGATACATCAACTTTCTAATTTAAAACTTTTGATAGCATTAACTTTCAAAATAAAAAATTCAATTAATTTTAACATACAGTTTATTATGGTAAAAAAAATTCTCAAACCTGACTATAAGCAAATCCATTTGTAGTACAAAGAGAGTCAATTCATATTTGCAATGGAATATAGTACATTTTATTGAGAGAATCAAGATAAATTGATTAGTGAAATCCACTATCACTAAATCATATTATACAAGTTTATGCACATAGAATGAAAAAATGGAAGCTTAAAATTATTTATGCTCCAGATGTGCAACAATACGATTAATAACAAACAAAATAAACATTTACTATTAACCATTAACTACATATGAAATACGAGAATAAACAAGTTGAGGAAGGTTATAAAGTATAGCAGACTGTTATATAAGATAAAACATACCAAACCTGATAAGTAAATGCATATTTTATTTAATAACTACATATGAAATACGAGAATAAACAAGTTGAGGAAGGTTATAAAGTATAGCAGACTGTTATATAAGATAAAACATACCAAACCTGATAAGTAAATGCATATTTTATTTAATAACTACATATTAATATAAATATACACATGTGTGTGTGTATATATGAAGTTATATTTCCAGTCATGACATTTGTCTTATTAGTGTTTGGCTTGATTCTGCAGCAACAAGGAGTTTTGGAGACCAGCAACAGGAGCTTCTTCCTTGGCTTATTAACCGAACTTTCGGTTCAAATCAACTCTTTTTCAAGAGTTCAAACTCGTTCAGAGTTATCAACTCGATCAGAGTTCAAAACTTGCTCTGCAAGTTCTTCTAAAACTCGTCAGAGTTATCAACTCGATCAGAGTTCAAAACTTACTCTACGAGTTCTTCTAAAACTCGTTCAGAGTTATCAACTCGTCAAGAGTTATTTCAAAACTTGCTACGCAAGTTCTCCACAGCGTCAAATCGTGAGGAGAAGACATCGTTCCAGTGAATCAAGACGTTCGGATCGTCAACGAGAAGCAAACTCGACGCGAGCATTCGAGGGAGGCATCTCATCGCCACCGTGAAGAACCCAGAATTAAATAAAGGGGAGAATCAAATTCATTCTCCTCTCTTTTGTAATCGGAATCCAAATTGTAATCGATTTTGAGAGGAATACAAGTCAATTTTTCTTTCATTGTCTTTTTACTACAAATTTCCAACAAACAGCAGCCGTATACACTGTTGAATTTCAGAAAAGAGGATTGTCACATGCACATATCTTGCTATGGTTGCATCCTAATAGCAAATATCCAGATTCGAATGATATTAATAAGATAATCAGTGCTGAGATTCCGGATAGAGAAACTGATCCAGTAGGATATGCGGCGGTTGGGCAATATATGATGCATGGTCCCTGTGGCATATTTAATACAAGCTCCCCATGTATGAGAAAGGGAAATTGCTCAAAACACTTTCCAAAGAAGTATGTCAATGAGACTGTAATTGATGAGTCAGGTTTTGCTGTATACCGACGAAGGAATGATAATAATAGATGGGTAGATAAAAATGGTACAAAGTTGGACAATGCTTATGTCGTACCTTATAATCGGAATCTTATTGTTAAATATCAATCGCACATTAATGTCGAATGGTGTAACCGAGGTAGGTCAATAAAATATCTCTTTAAGTATATAACTAAGGGGCCTGATCATGCTTCCATATCTCTACGATCACATAAATCAAGTTCAAGCGGTTCAAATAACCATGAAAAGACAGATGAGATACAATATTATTTAGATTGTCGATACATCTCAGCACCAGAAGCAATTTGGAGAATCTACGGATTTGATATACATTATAGAGTTCCTGCTGTGGAGAGGCTCCCATTTCACCTTCCTGATCAACAGTCAATGATTTTCAAAGACTCAGATGATCTTAATGAAATTATTGATAATATTCATGCAAAGAAATCAAAATTTATTAGCTGGATGGAAGCAAACAAGTTGTATGATGAAAGTAAAACACTCACATACTCAGAATTTCCTTCACATTTTGTTTGGTTAGCTGATGAGAAACGATGGAAAATCAGGGAAAAAGGTCGTAGTATTGGCAGGGTTTTTTATTCTCATCCAACTTCAGGTGAGAGGTTTTATCTTAGGTTGCTTCTTAATGTTGTAAAAGGACCTACATCCTTTGATGACATTAAAACTAAAGATGGAATAGTTTATCCAACATTCAAAGAAGCATGTCAAGCTTGGCGATTATTAAATGATGACCAAGAATGGCAATATGTTTTGGATGAGGCTTCTTATGTTGCTTCTGGAAAACAATTTAGGCAATTGTTTGCCAAATTATTATTGTTTTGTGAAGTTGTGAATCCACAAATATTATGGGAAAATAACTGGAAGTATATGGCTGAAGGTATATTGGAAGATCAGAGAAATATTCTTGACATGCCTACCTTAACAATGTCAGAACAGGAACTTCAAAGTTATACTTTAGCTGAAATTCAGTATTTATTGCTTGAAAATGGAAGAAGCTTAAAAAATTTCAAAGGGATGCCTTTACCAGATCTACAAATAATGCAGCAATGCAAGCACAAGATTATTAGTGAAGAATTAAATTTTAACAGGGATGAGTTAAGATGTGAAAATGAGAAGTTTATTCAAGGAATGAACACTGATCAAAAAGTTATATATGACACTATACTTGGGTCTGTATATAAAGAACAGGGAGGATTATTTTTCATATATGGGCATGGAGGAACTGGAAAAACTTATCTTTGGAAATCAATTATTCTAAATTCTGGAAAAACTTATCTTTGGAAATCAATTATTTCTAAATTACGATCAGAAGGAAAAATTGTATTGCCAGTTGCTTCATTAGGAATAGCATCAATATTACTTCCTAAAGGCAGGACAGCACATTCTAGATTTAATATTCCCATCATTCTGAAAAATAATTCGACTTGTGGAATCAAAATAGGTAGTCCTGAAGCTGAATTAATCAAGATGACAAGTCTTATAATCTGGGATGAGGCTCCAATGGTCCACAAACATGCTTTTGAAGCTGTCGATAGAACATTCAAAGATATATTAGGAGCAGAATGTTCTGAAAATGTAAACAAACCTTTCGGTGGAAAGACATTTGTGCTTGGGGGCGACTTCAGACAAATACTTCCGGTTATTCCAAAGGGATCTAAACATGATATCTTACATGCTTCTATCAGTTGTTCGTATTTATGGAGGGACTGTAAAGTTTTAACACTTACTAAGAATATGAGATTGCAAACACAAGTGAATGAAAGTACTACAATGTCTACCTCTGACTTTAGTAAGTGGGTACTTGATATTGGAAATGGAGATAACATGTGTAAGAAAAATGCATTTCATGATCAGGATTTTTTAGTTCAGATACCAGATAATTTTATAATTCATGCGAATGGTAATCCGATTGATGCGGTTATATCGTTTACATATCCTAGATTGATGCAGAATTACTCAAATGAAGAGTATTTAGAGGAAAGAGCTATACTAACAGCAAGGAATGAAGTTGTTGACATAATTAACAATGAAATTCTAGACATCGTTCCAGGGGAGTATGTTACATATCTGAGTTCTGATTCTCTTTGTCCCACCTCGCCAAATCTTGCAAGCAATGAAATATTATATCCAACTGAATTTCTAAATTCACAGAAATTTCCTGGGATGCCAAATCATGAAATTAAACTTAAAGTTGGTACTCCTATCATGCTTTTGCGTAATCTTAGCCCGGCAGATGGTCTTTGCAATGGTACGAGATTAGTTATCACACAACTTCTTAAATGGATAATATAAGCTAGAATAATTAGTGGAAGTAATATTGGGATAAAGCATTTTATATCCAGGACAGATATGACCAATACTGATTCAAAGTGGCAATTTCATATGAAAAGAAGACAATTACCAGTGAGAACATGTTTTGCAATGACAATTAATAAAAGTCAAGGACAAACTTTAAAGCATGTTGGATTGTATCTTCCAAAACCATGTTTTACACATGGCCAATTATATGTAGCAATTTCTCGAGTTACTTCACCACAGGGACTTAAAATCCTCATTGAAAATGAAGATGGAATAGATAACAATGTAACAGAGAATGTTGTGTACAAAGAGGTTTTCAACAATCTAACTGCAGGTATTATCTCAACACTATGTTACACAACTTTATTATTATCAACCATGAAACTATTAATTTTTTCCACCGACATTGACATACTTTTTTGATGAATTTAATGTATGAATTTTATACATCTGTGAATGTATTATGTATTATAGCTTCTGTCTTTTTACTTACGTTTTTTTAACTTTTCATCTTGTAGTTGATCATCATTGACAATGTCAATAAATAGCTATACCTCTATAAAAAATTTGGACCTTACTACTAAAGATCAAGTAATCAAGGCGAGGGTTACCAGGTTGTGGGAGAACATCAATCCGATATCTAAACAAGTATATGGATTACAACTAATATTGATAGATGAAAATGTAAGTTGCATATTCTTTACTTTATTTGACTTCTATAATTAAAGTCAGATACATATAACATGTGATTATATATTTTATATTTAAAATTCTAGATTTATAATTACTAATCTGCTTTATTTATTATTATCAGGATAATGATGTTCAAGGAAACATAAAAGCAACTGAGATATCTAGGTTCAGACCAATGATAGAAGAAGGGAGGATTCATATTCTTTCTAAGTTCAAAGTGATAACTGCGTATGGTGATTATCGAGCAACTCAAAACAATTACTTTATATGCTTCTTTAGACAGACTGAAATTAAGGTTCTACAAGATGATGATGAGGTAATCCCGAGACAAAAATTCCAATCTAAAGATTATAATGAACTTGGACAATTTCTAGGAAGACGTACATATCTTTATGGTAAGGTCGTTCAAAATTTTAATAATGATGTTTTTATTTGATAAGTTTGATAAACTTGATATTACATGTATTAATAATAGACATATTTCATAGATGTTGTAGGAATTGTGAAGGATATATACCCATTGGAAGATTCTACTACTGGAGGGAAAAGACAAACTAGAAGATCGCTAAAAATAATTAATGATTTGTAAGCGTTTTATACATTTAAAATTATAATGGATATTTAACAATATTTTATATAATGGCTGATTTTTTACTTTTCTTAAAGGGGCGAGGAATGTACAGTGACATTATGGAACAAAATTGCATTGGATTTAGAAGATCAAACTCAACAGTATGACCCAAATAATATGGTTATGATAATCACTGGAATATTTGTAACAAATTTTTGAGGTAATGAGCACGAACCATTGCTATCCAGTCAAATTCAAATTGATATTAGTTTGGTTAATTTTTTTTTGTTCAATGAAAAGATATTTTATTCATCACCAAAATTTGAAAATTGAGTACATCAACTGTCCACGAATAAAACATGGAAACTAAATATCCAAACACATCGTTTGGAAACAACAGATCAAAAACATATTATATTACATATTTTACAGCTTCTCCTTCATATGGTCAGGGATATCATCATTATAAATCTTGGAGAAAATTGATATCTTCACAGCAAACAAATTATCATGCCCCTATTTTTGAACTGAAAATTTCTCAAGTTCCTTTCTTGCCATATCAAATAGACCATAACTGACAATTACATTCTCTTCGATTTTTTCATATAACTCTTCCCCTTTAAGTTGTTGCAATAAAAATTGATGATATGATTCCAATAACTTTATACCATGATTGGACAGAATATTGACATTCGATATTCTTCAATTCCGATAGGTTTCCTCTATGTTATTTGAGCATATGACACAAGTATTCGTGCCCAACATTCTCATTTTGTGTAGTCTATCTTGAGTCAATATTCAAGAATGAATGACCAACCATAAGAGGATCGAATGCTTTGGATAATGAAAGCCTCTACAAAAAATTCTAGAACAAGGGCTTGACTGGTTGATTGACTTAAAGCTTAGTAGACAGAGGATATTTTGAAGCTTGGTTAATGTTTGTAGATCTGATTATGCATCTCTATAGTTGGTTATCGTATAACATTAATTCTTTTCGTGTATTTAGCAGGAAATAATACAGTTTCTTCTAGCAGCGCGTCGAGAATATATATCAACATTGATGATCCAAAGGTAAAGGATTTATCTCAGAGGTATGTGGTTTAGTAAAAGAGATTATACTATAAACATAAAATGTAATGTTGTACAATTGCATTATTATTATAGGTATGAATAATTGTCATTAATATATTATTGCTCATATGGGTTTCTAAAGTGAATTTAGCATCATCTAGATATCTCAATGACAGTGAAGAATTGCTGCAAATAATTCCTACCCCGGTCAACTACTCAGCAGATCAACCACAGCTTATAAAAGCAACAAATGGCACATTGAATGATTTACTTTTCTTCAATGACCCTGGGACTTCAAATGTAAATTTGCATTATATAATAAGATAATTTCTATGTGTATGTATCATCACTGATTTACATTACTTTTCTGAGATTATTTTCCCATCATTACAGGAACTTTCTATGTGTATGTATCATCACTGATTTACATTACTTTTCTGAGATTATTTTCCCATCATTACAGGAATATTATTTCATTTGCGAAGTTATTATCATTGGTATTATTGAGCATATGAAATGGAGATACAATGGTTGCCTTGATTGTTCAAAAAAATCTTTAATAGCTGGTAATTCATTCTGGTGTGAGAAATGTAACAGACAAGTCATGACACAAAACTGGTAATATTTTGATATCATATTGACTCGCATATAAAGTTATGTAATAGTTAAATAATCATGAAATGTAATGAGTATTTGTATTATTTGCAGTTATAAGATAACACTAGAGGTCGAAGATTATTCAGCCGTTTCCACAATAACATTATTCAACAGAGAAGCTGAGAAATTGTTTAAGGTTTCTGCTGATGAAATGGCTAAGAATTTGGTGAAGGTAATTACATAAACCTCTATATTATTTTTATCATCTAATTTTGTTTGAAGTCTATGAGTTTCTGTTTGTATTGTTTCATTTCATGACCTACTGATGTTCACATCAACATATTAAAGGAAAGGAAGTTTTCCCACCATTGATTTAGGGGATTGTGGGTAAGAAAATTAAAGTTCAGATTAAGCTTACTAAATACAATTACATTGAGGGTAATGAAGGATTCACAGTTATGAAACTGATAGAGGACTTACACGACAGAAATAAAGAAAGCTACATCGAAAATACACCACAGGTTTAAATTCTTAAATCATAGAATGTTAGACAATTCATTTATCATATTAATTCTAATTGTTTAAATATTATTTCTAATTAGGATGTGTTCGCCCAGCAAAATTCTGACGTTATTAGCCTTACTGAAGAAGGACCACCAACAACTCCATTGACTACTCCTATTTCAAAATCTGTTTTGAAAAATACTACTAACGTAATGATAAAACCAAAGATTGAGAAGGCAGTAAACAACAATTTGGTTGTAAATAACAGCATTGAAGTGGAAGAAAAGTCTGGTAATATTGAGCAGCTCAAATTGCCAATGCAAGAAGGTAAAATATATGACTTCCTATTTGAAATTATGAGAATTATTTAACAAAAGTTACTAATATGTTCAAATCTAATTTAATAATTCAAGTTCAATATTCATAATGTAGGAAATAAGAAAAGGAGAACCAATCGAAGCGGTGGAAAAGAGAACTAATAGGTGGAAGACTTGACAACAACTTCTGAAGAGTTTTCAACCTAAGTTTAGTGTGCATATTTATGTTGCTTATGTTTAATCATATTATGTAGTTTTAATTACGCAAAACTATAAGATGTATCTTGATACTTAATATGTATACTTTTGTTAAATGTAATGTAATAGATTTGATCAATTTTATATGTATATGGAATAGGTAAGATAGTCAAAATTGTCTTTAGCCATGCATCAACGGATGTAACAGTTTTACTAAAGGAATTGGACAGGTTGCAAATCAGAAGACACGTTTTATTATTGTCTCAACTTCCTTACATTTAAATTGTAGTTGCAGCATAGTGTGGATGCAGGTACATAGTTCAAGACACATGCACAGACTGTCTATTGTGCTGAGCAATTCCCCACAACCATCTAGTGTGCTCGAAACTTCCACAATCAAGTTGGCCATGTTGGTCATCATCAGACACGTTGCTACAGTTTGCGACTCTTCTTGGCCACATCGCTCAAATTCTCCACAAAAATATTTCAGTTAATCTGCTTGCACAATTTCCCAGTGTATAAACTGCTTTCCTATTGAGCCTAAAGATAGTTGAAGAAAATTTTACAACAAGTCATTACGGAGTTCAAACACTTGCTTCTTCATCAATTTCCTAAACCGCAAAATAGTTCAATAAAATTCTTATTCAGGTTAGTATCAATTTCAGCTTCCGCATTTCAACTTTCTTGATTCTCTGTGTTTTCTTTGGCTATTGCTGGTATTTTCTTCATCCTTCTTGATTCTATGTGTTTTATTTTATTTTGTTGTTTTATTTGAATTTTCTTCATCCTGCTTGCAGTTACAATCAGAGATTTTTGAGATGTATGGTGATTAGTGAATAACTGTAAGAAAGAGTGGAACTGGGTTCTTTCAAAATTGCAACATTCAAAATTTGATCTATTGTGCTGAGCAATTCCCCACAACCATCCACCAAGCTCAAAACTTCCACAATCAAGTTGGCCATGTTGGTCATCATCAGACACGTTGATACACTTTGCCACTCTTCTTAGCCACATTACTCAACCTCTCCACAAGAAGATTTCAGTTGATCTGCTTCCACAAATTTGCAGTTTATACACTGCTTTCCAATTCAGTTTATACAAGTTGAAGAAATATTTACAAGTCAGTACGGAGTTCAAACACTTGCTTCTTCATCAATTTCCTCAACAACATTATAGTTCAAGATAAATCTTATTCAGGTTAGTATCAATTTCAACTTCCGCAGTTCAACTTTCTTGATTATCTGTGTTTTCTTTTGCTTTTGCTCACTGATCCTCCATCCGATTTTAATCCTCCCTTTTGGTGCGATATTTCTGATTCTGCAATTTCTGATGATGAAAGCATCTGAAATGCACGAATCTCTGCGAACATGGTAATTTTACCTTCAAATTTATTTTTCCAAATGAAGTTTTTCATAAGAGACTAATACTTCTTCTCCCCGCCGCCGCCGTCAGACGTCAATGATCCTCCCTCCGTTATTGAATCCTCCCTTTTGGTGCGATATTTCTGATTATACAATTTCTGATTAGGAAAGCATCCAAAATGTTCGAATCTCTGCGAACATGGTATTTTTACCTTTCTCAATTTTATTTTTCCAAATGAAGTTTATCATAAGAGACTGATATTTCTTCTTATTCCTATGCTAAAACTTATAAGAAGACCAATAAAGCGAAGATGGATCTAGGAACTCCATGTCGGAAGTCAGATCATTTGAAGGGAAAGCCTGCAGATTTTTATGCCTCATCTCCCAAAGGTTTTCTTTAAGTAGAGCATCAGTTTAATTTTGTATAACTTAAAAATATGCTGTAAGATTTATAATTTTGGGAACTTTTGTTGTTTAGATTTATATCTTGAAAGAAGTGAATGTTCATTAAGCGTGAAGAAGAGACGGACAATTTTCTAATTTAGAGAGATGTAGAAGTAAAGCAAGGGGAAGTATCATGATCCTGTTTTGGGAATTTTTTGCCATTTTTGCAGGTTCTTATTTTTCCACTCTAAAGGGGAAGTATCATGATCCTGTTTTGGGAATTTTTTGCCATTTTTGCAGGTTCTTATTTTTCCACTCTCAACTTTGCAAACTATTACTGGCGTTTACATGCCATTTTTGCAGGTTCTTATTTTTCCACTCTCAACTTTGCAAACTATTACTGGCGTTTACATTTTGGACTTGAAATGATTTCATATTAACTGTATAAATGTTCTCTATTTGTGTATTTTGTTGATCTTAGTCTAGCTTATAGAAATGAACAAAAAAATGCATTTACCATTGACTTCATATAAGACATCAAATATTCTCAATGCTCATATCAAGTATGTTTAAGATTGTGCACAAAAATAATGGACATCAAATATTCTCAATGCTCATATCAAGTATGTTTAAGATTGTGCACAAAAATAATGGGTAAAGATGTCGTGCTTAGCACGGGATGAATACTAGTAAGTATGTTTAAGATTGTGCACAAAAATAATGGGTAAAGATGTCGTGCTTAGCACGGGATGAATACTAGTAGACAATTAAAGTTGAAATCTCTGAAAAAATCAATGACCTCTTTACGTATGACTATTTGATCCATTTAACCTTTGTAGAAATATGTTTGTTATAGAATAATTGTTATGCCGACGCAGAAAATACCATCTTCCTTATGCCATTATTCTAACCTGCAATCTGGGTATCTGCAAAAATTTCATCGCTGGTGCCATTATTCTACCCTGCACTTTGAGCATCCGATAACATCAAGAGAGAGAATGGTAGTTTTGCAGATCAGATGGCATCCAGGGAGGGAGGGAGTTTAAATTTTGCTTCTTATCTTTTGAAATTGAGAAAATTTTGTCTCAATTGGGTGCTGAATGTTGGTACATTAAATTTTAGATGAAATTCCAGGAAGCACAACAAATTACCCTACTGAATAGACGGAACAAAAGATAAATCTCTGCAATGTCACCTCCGATTCTCTACCTTCGTAGAACATCACTACTGGTGCATGTGTTGCAAGATTTTTTTTTTAAAAAAAATACATGTTTTTCAAGTGAAATCACTTTCTTATGTTGTCCCAAAGTTTCTTAACAGATATACAAGTCTCCAGGACATCAGACTACATCTAGATCCAAACCATAGCCAAGGTTCTTGTAACCATGCATGGACATTGCCCTCTCAACAAAAAGATCTATTCAAGTACCTAATAGTTTATTGATAACCTACTCTGTTTAATATGTAATGTAAAAGCTTACGCCTATCAACGATCGTTCCTGGTCAAGGTTACAGAAAGCGCTAGGTAGCCTAGAACCTAGGTGTTACCCAACGCCTAGAGCCTAGGCATCTAGACGGCGCTTAAGCAATTTTCCTTAATTTTTATTTTTAAATTACAATAATTGATAATAAATGTCTCCTATTTAAGTGGTGGCGAAGGAGATTTTGTTGAAGGTTGGACGGGGTAGAGGAGGAGTTCGTAGTTAGAGTTTTGAGCAGGTTGGAGGATGTGAGGGCTGCAACAGAGGTAATTACGATCAAGTTCTAAAGGATGCAGTCTGTGTAAGCAGATCATGCTCCTCTTGGAGCTTTCAAAACCTAGTTGGGCAGCGTAGGTACCGCCTAGGTGCTAGGCGGACGGCCTAGTTACCACCTAGTTCTAGGCGTACGTCTAGATGGACTAGACTGAGGCTTTTTAAAATATTGGTCCTAGTCGCGAGTGTCGTGGTTGATAAGCAAAAGTGTGATGACTAGACACTACCGGTAGATACATTTCCAAAGCCATGTTAAGTAATTTTGTTGGCTTGTCACGTGATTTATTAACTTTAAATTATGGAGATATAATATTTTAAAAAAAGTTAAAGTTCAGAAGATGCCCCAAAAAGTTTGGCACATTTTGAAATAACCCCCAAAAGTTTTGAAATTGACTATTAACCCTCAAAACTTTTGAGTCATCTACAAAACCCCCATAACATTTGAAGTATTTTCCACTCCCCCTCAAACAGTGTGACCCCCAAGATTTTTTCAACATACCCCCAACTTTGAACATTATTTTCAGAAAAAACCCAACTTTGAACATTACTTGCTGATATTCCCATGAACTTTCAAAGAACTAAATAGTTTTTTATAGGGGTGCATTCGGTCTGGATACGGCTCGGATATGATACTTATGATATCCATATCAACTTACCCATCTTGGATACTCATACGAATACAAATATACCTCGATAAAGAAAATTCATATTCATATCCGCTAAAAATCGGATACATATATGGATATACATACGGATATATAAGCGTAAATGCATGCGGATATAAAATGGATATGAGAAAACTAGATAATATTGAAAAAATATAGTTCATGTGATACAAAAGAGTTCATTAATATGCGCATTACATTTAAAAAGCTAAGATTAAACATCTTGATCATCAAAATTAACATCAAATCTATAATCTAAGGACTAAAACTATCGTAATAGTATGATTAATATGCTTTCGGATATTTTGAACACGGATCCAGATATTTCACTACAAAATCATATTTGTAACCATATCCTATTGGTTATAGATTTAAGTAACTATATCCTAACAGATATGATTACATATATTTTCTCGAATACAAATACGGTTTAGCACCCCTAATTTTTTAGCTCTCAACGGCCTAAAAAATTAAGAACTAATAAATTTTAAGATGATGGATCAAATGTAAAACCCTAGAAATTGGGGGTTTCGTTATGCATACCTTTGAGGATCGAAATCAAACTGCTCTGGAGAATGTTTTTAGCTGGGATTTGAGCGAAACCCTAGCTGAAATCGAGCTCCGACGAGCAAAGGAAGTGGATCCAGGAGGAGAGCTGGGCGCGGTAAATCTAGAGATGTTTATCTTGTTTTTTTAATCTATATCTGTATCTTCTGTTAAATCTCTTACCATTGCATGTGCTACTTGTCAATTTTCCCTTTTTTAAATTATTTTCTTAAAAAAAAATAAAAAGTTAATCTTAACCGTTGGATTTACTCATCTAAAACCAAACCATTTGATTTAATTCTCTAAATCTTTTCTTCATAATCACCTCTCCTCGTCTCTCACCACTTCGATTTCTCAAAAGCTTTCGTTCCTCCCAAAGCACAATTCTCACCTGAAAACGCTGTCTTCTTCATCCCTCCCCCAAAAACCCTTCGCCTCCCGGTCTCCTCTCTCGACCTACTCCCTATATCCCTCTTTCATTTTACTCTCGAATTCCATTTTGCTTCATTCTGATACCCCTGACTCAATTCCTGAAAACAGGACGCTACAATTCCTTGGATGGTAGCTAGCAGGGCAACAGATGACAACTGAAAATATCCGGCTAGAGAAGTAAAAGCATCAATGGCGACGATGAGCACTTCTTTAGGTTCGATTTTAACTTTTCTTTTATTCTTTGTTCTTTTAGGTCCCATTTGGCAAATGGTTAAGAAAGAGAGATTAATGAGAATGATTAACATAGTTAGCTCATTTGATAATCTCAAGGACTAAATTATTAACTCGTTATAAAAGTTTTATTTTAACCCTTATGATCATTTGTATTGTTTGAGAATAACAATGATTTTGACTATTTTTTTATAATTAGAAGGGTTAACTCTTAATCCTTCTAAATAGGAGTATTAGAAGGGTTAACTCTTAATCCTTCTAAATAGGAGTATTAGTAAACCCCTTATTTTGAGGGGTTAACTTATTTTAATTAACTCTTAATCCTTCTAAATAGGAGTATTAGTAAACCCCTTATTTTGAGGGGTTAACTTATTTTAATCTATCTAGAGGGGTTAACTTAATCATTCTATATTTTTTATGTTTGGTAAATTATGAAGGGTTAACTCACTTTAACCCTTGTACATATTTTTTGTGTTTGACGGGTTAAGAAGGGGTTAAGTCTCCTTAACCCCTCACTTAACCATATGCCAAACGGTACCTTAAGCTATGTTTGGTTTGAGAGAAAGAGAGAGAAAAGAAGAAGAAAGAGAAAGTAAAAAAGAAAGGAAAAGAAAAGGAAAAGAAAATGATATTCCTTTTATTGTTTGGTTAGAAAGAATATTGTAAGAAAAGTTAGAAGAAAATTCATAAGAAAGTCATTTTTTCTTGTATGGTTACCTTTCTGAGTAAAAGAGGAAGAAAATTACCACAACAAAATTTTAATTCATACTTTTTGGAATTAGACTTAGATTTTAAATAATTTACAAAAAATAATTAACAAGCAAATGCACAACCACAATTACACTAATTAAAGAACAACATTTCTCACACATAATATTAACAAGCAGAAGCACAACTACAATTCCATTAATTAAAAAATAACATTTCTCACACATAATATTTACAGAAAGAAAGATCAATGAAAGAACCAAAACAAATCTAAAATAAATGTTATGATATTCCTAATATAAAGTATAATCCATTTCTAGTCACAAAGTCTATTACAATCAATTTCATATAGAAAATCTTAACCAACAAAGTCTATTACAATTAATTTCATATAGAAGATCTTAACCAACAAAGTCTATTACAATCAATTTCATATAGAAAATCTTAACCAAAGAGAGAGAGAGAGAAATATATGCCGAAGTCCTTGTTTTTTGACTTTAGTGAGCCCATCAAAACATCAATCTCGCATCCTTCATCCCCTGAAATTATCAAAAAAATTCAAATAAGTAGAATATGAACATCAAAACCTATATAATGAAGTTTTAACATTCTTTTAGAAGCAAAATAAAACTACAACTCATCATATCTTGGTTCTTTTCTTAAGACTAATCATCAGAAATGATGGAAGTAACTAATCATTGTAATGTTAAGTTTGTCCCAGAACCATGTGACTTTGTGTTCTAATCTTGTGAAATTTACTGAATACTTCCAAATGGAGAGATAACTTGAAGGCATGCTTATTATAAATCTGTATATAAATCAGAACTAGAAATAATTTCAAACACAAAAAGAAAAGATGCATATATTGGTGATATAAGTAACTTTGTACATGGAACAGACTTCCATGATAAGAACTATAATATCATACTGTTGGATTTAATCTAATAAATCTATTTGTGGGCACATATGATTAATCAATGTGTATTGCTATCTTTCAGGATAACCCACTAAAGTGATCAATTAAGTTGGGTTAATGGGTATTTAAATAAGTCATGGGGTTATATGTGCAGATACCAGGTTGTAATTGTGATTTGTTGAGGGGCCAAATTATAAATGTATAACATCTATAAATAAGGGGTTGTGGTCCCTAACCTAGGGTTACACTCTCTAATTCTCTTCACCCCCATCTAGAGAGAAATTCGGCTAGAGAGAACCCTAAGGTTAGAAGATCAAAACCCATCTCAAGTTTAAGCAATGGATTCAGGTATAAGCTTCCGCTAAGGTTAGAAGATCAAAACCCATCTCAAGTTTAAGCAATGGATTCAGGTATAAGCTTCCGCTCCTTTGATTCTTGTTAATCTCTTTGAATTAATCAATGGCTATATGGTTTTAGATCTCAAGTATTGATTCAGTTCTAACAAGTGGTATCAGAGCCATGATAAGAACTATAATATCATACTCGATAAACATTGAATTACAAACAATAAGGTGATGTACTTATTACTATCAAACAATGCAAGTTCAAACTCAAAGACAATCCTCCCATCATGAAAAGGTACTTATTACTATCAAACAATGCAAGTTCAAACTCAAAGACAATCCTCCCATCATGAAAAGGTAAAACACTAGAGGACCCTTCAACATTTGAAAGCCAGGAAGGTTTTTTTATATTAGGCAAAGGAATGTTAGTCGGTTTTTTTTTGTCATTGTACCTAAAACTTATGAACTAGGTGGTAAAATGCAAACATGTAATTAGAGTGTGAATTAAATTACCTCCTAGCACTTTGCTTACTTTTATACATCACCTTTTGAAAGCTCTTGGTGGAGGTCATTTACATGAGCTAGGATAAGTAACATTGAATGCACGTGGTCTAAACTAATAGGATAAGTAATATTGAAGTTACAGGAGATAGCCAAAATATATCATTTTTGATATTAAGATATGCATAGATATTCCATATACTACAATATGACATATATATTGTGGGTTTTGGATGTGCATCATGCACTCAAATCTGTGTCGTGTGCATATACAATTTGTATGCTAAATAGGATATGTAAGTGACAGTGTAAATTGACTTGTGTTCTCAACAGGCTAAATAATTGATGAGAGGTACAAAAGTGTTCAACACGCCCATGTTCAGGAAAAACAGTCTTCTGCAACTTTGTTGTGGATGAAGATGTTGGGAAATATACCCGAGGCTATGTTAAACCCTTAAAACAGCAAGAAACGCATCAGAGAAAAGTACATCATGATTTAACGAGGTTGGACAAACTTACTTATGTCCTCGGGAGCCACACAATTAATTTCTTATTAATCAAAGAAATTACAATGCAAGAGCAGATCTCAAACGGGAGCCACACAATTAATTTCTTATTAATCAAAGAAATTACAATGCAAGAGCAGATCTCAAACTTGAGATTTCTTAATAAATGCAAAAATCAACACTGTAGCTATAGTGATGATTTCCCTTCTTAAATACCCCTCTTCAATTCTCCCCTCAATAAATTCTCCCTTTCTTAAATTCCTCCCTCAAAATTAACGTGAGCTAAAGGAGAAAGAAGAGATCGCGAGAGAAGAGAGAGAGTCGCCGCCGCTGGAAGAGAAAACGAGAAGAAGAAGCCACACATCTTGAACTCTGGGTTTCCTCTTTATAGGTAAACCCTAGCGACAGGCTGACAACAGCCTATCGCCAGCAATTCCTTCGACCTCGCCTACGTGGAAGCGTCTTGAGCTTGTCTGTGGAAGTTTCTCGAACTCGCTTGCGTGGGGGTTTCTCGAGCTCGCTTGACTCGCCCGCGCTCGCCTGTCCTGGATCGACCCGAGCTTGCCTGCACCTCATCGACCCTGCCTGACGCTCGTCGAGCTCACCTGCATTGGATCTCGAGCTCGCCTGAAGTTGACCCCGAGCTCGCCTGCAAAGCACGTCTCACCTGAGGAGCTCCCCGAAGTCGTCGACCTTGCCTGCATCTTTGCCAAGGTTTGGATCCACACCCAAATCCAACAGAAGATGCCTGCATCAGACATATGAAATAAATATTCAAAAATTAAGTTAACTACACAAGAACCCAAATTCAAATAAAACTACTAACATGAAAATCTCTGATGAGCATCGTTGATCAAGAGTATGCTTAGAAAGGTGCCAACATCGTAGAAAATCAAAGGAACATAAATATCCATTGAGATAAATTATGAAGCCGTCATACCTGGTCTCGGATGATATATTTGAATCGAATATTGTAAACAAAGGAAAATTGTAGATTAAAATCTAAAAATGCACATCTTTATGTCAAACCAAAAGACAAAGGCATGTCTTTTTGCATTAATTGAGAAACTGCAAGGAAAGAGTACATAATCCTATTTATGTATGAATTTTGTTCAAGAATGATATATGCAAATTGTGATATTACAGTATCATTTGTAAAATTTGAGAACTTAAAATTAAGTAATATTAGGGTTTTGGAGCATTATACCTAGCTTCTAGAGAGTCCGGTTTCTCAAAAAAACAAAATTTGGAGCAAATTGAAATGGAATTGATTAACAATCTAATAACCAATCAAACATCATAATCAATCAGACTCAACCTAGTACCATAAATTCAATATAATCTTCCAATTTTGCACTTTAACTTGAAAACTACAGAAGTTACAAGATTTCACCAAAATTAACATAATTTAAATAATTGATCTCAAAATGAGGCACAAGCTTGAGCGGAAAAGAGAAGCCACGACAAGGTCCATAAATTAGTGTTTTGGCTTGAGCCAATAAGAGAAGCATAGACAAAGTCTAGAAATTAGTGTTTTGTCTTGGTGTCAACAAAATTCATCCTTTTCCCCCTCAACTTGTCCTCTTTCTTCTCCTATTTCTCAGTTTAACATAAAATTCTAAAAAATATATATGCAAAGGTTTCACACCGAACCAAAGACAAGTCCTAGATCAGTACACGCCAAATCCTTAGGCAAACATCGCAAACTGGGAACAATAGCTATTGTTCAGAGGATGAAAATTCATCATAGAATTGTAAAAAAAATCGATTTGACTTCAAAAAGTTAGAAAAATTATCAAAACACTTCAAAGAAGTAAATAAGCCCATTAACAATAACCAAAGAGGAGGAAAAAAGGGGGGAGCAATTCCAAAAAAATAAAAACATAGAGAACTCTAAGTTTTGCTATTTTATTCCACTTAAGTTCATCAACTAACTTGATCGTCGGAGGTACAACAGGGGAACCAATCCCCGTCCTCTCACGAGTTTCTACATGTGTGTAGGTTGTCT